GAGCTTCACCACCTGTAACCGAAGGGTTCAACGACTAAGGGAGTTGAGGCTCTTTTTTCAAGTGTTGGGGGAGAACATTTGCCAGGGACTGTAACGCCCCACTCAATGAGTGTCGGGGCTGCCAGAAAGGTAAGCACCACAGTGCTCTGTGTCCTAATGACACCGATCAGCACAAGCTAAAGAGCATGGGCAAGCCTGAAGTAGTGGTGAATGTGGTGAGTGCAGCACTGGGGATTTGTTCTGATGAGCAGGTTCAAGGTTCGGTGGCCTTGCCCACCATAATGGCGGTGGTTATGAATGGGAAGAAGTCTGAAACAACCCATTTGTTCTTTGACACTGGGCACAGAGATCCTTTATAACAGAGAGTCTAGAAAACTAAGTTGAAGTTGAAGACTGGTAAGGTTGACATGAAGGTGGAAGGGTTTGGTGGGCAGGTCCCACACAGGTCTTAACCGGTTGTCGATGTGACGGTCAGATTAGCCAGGCATCGACAGAAAATTTCACCTTGATAGTGAAGTGGCTCCCCAATACATTACCACTAAGGGATTGGCTGCAGAAATCAAGCATTTAGGGAGTTGGGTGTGAAGCGGGGGAGCCAGACATCCCTACAGACAATGTCAGTAATGTAGGAATTTTTGGTGGGAGATTACATAGACGAATTCGTGTCTCCGAAAAGGGGTTATCAAGGGGGGTATTCCCCTGTACAGGACTCCAGCGAGGTACATCATGGGAGGCAGGATACTGGCTCACTTCCCTGCGACCCAAGGAAAGGGGGCTCCAGTACTTCAGTGACTGAGGCTGTGCTGGTGATGCAGATTGGTCTGCATGAAGATCAAATCAGAGTCAAAAGTCGACATAGCCGACAGTGAGCCAGCCCAAATAAACTATGGGACCTGGAGTAGTAGGGATTAAGGCGACCAACCGCCCCTCGAACATAAGAGACATATCGAGATTACTTGAACCATGTGCATTTAAGGACGGACAGTACTGGGTGTGACTCCCTTGGAAACCATTTAAAACTCAACACTGCCCACTAATTTTAAGAAGGCACGGGTCAGTTGAACTCATTGGTGAACACCCTTTGACCAAAAAGGGTCGGGTTTGGGGAAATACAACGACATTATTAAGGAACATTTGGCCCTCGGGTTCATTGAAAAAGTACCCAATGCCAGCCTTGGGAAAAACACCCATTATCTTCCACACAGGGCCCAGTCACCAAGGAGTCAGTAACCACTCCCATCAAGTGGTCTTCAACTGCAGCTCACAGGCTATTCCCCAAGAGTCACATTGAATGACTGTCTGCTCACGGGGCCCTTTCCCCTGATGCAGAAATTAACAGATGTGTTGTTGAGATTAAGGACAGAGCATTATGCCTATGCAGCAGATATCACAAAGCCTTCCTGCGTATCGGATTGCAGCCACAAGATAGGGATTTACACAAATTCTTGTGGTTTACTAACAGGGAGGCGCCCGAGCAAGGGTATGATGCCTACAATTCAGGGTGGTTTTTGTTTGGCACCACTAGTTCCCATTCATGCTGCAGGCCACCATAGACTACCACCTTGCAAACTGTAACAGCCCACTTAAAGAATTACTGAAGACCCTGTTTTACGTAAAACAACATGCAAGGTACCACCTCAGAGAGAGGCTGTTGATGGACATTTTACCGAGAGTCTAATCGGGAGATCTCTCAGCTAACATGCCATTGAGAGAATGGTGACAATCCAACGTTGTGAGGCAGGGTGGAAAGTGCCTATGCGGCTACTCAGTACCTGAGGTAACATCGGTGTTGGGACTGGAGTGGGAAATCAAGGAAAGACAGACTTAGGTCTAAAGAGGAAACATGAGGGGGAAGGGAAGCTGACCAGGAGGTCCTTGCTGAGTAAAGTGCAGACTGCCTTCGACCCTTTGGGTTTGTTGACACCCATTACCATTCGGAAGGATACTAGTGCAACAGACCTGGGAGCTGAACCTAAAGGGTTTGGGGTGACCCACTGCCAGAAACAGTCTGCCAGGAGTGGGATCTGGTTAGCAAGGATCTAGCAGAATTGCACATTCACATTCCCCAGGTCCCACATGTGCACCGGGCAAGAATATAACTTTCATGTCTTTTGTTTATGCCTCCTCCAGGGCCTATGGGGCAGTAGGGTACTTGGTGGCTAGGGACCAGGTCAATCTGGCAACCAGCCAACCACAGGTGAAACCCCTGAAGGATTGCTCGATCCCAAAGCTAGAGCTCACGGCGATGTTGCTGGAGCAAGACTGGGGAAAGTATGTAAAGGAAGTGTTGAGTAACCTGAGAGTGACACACACCTATGTATGGACAAGACTCAGAGGTGGCCTTACAGTGGGTCCAGAATGACAGGCCCAAGCTCCCCTATATCAGGAATCGGGTAAAAGAGATACAGGAGCTACAGTCAACATCTACAGATCAAAACCCAGTTGACCTGATAAGCTGAGGGGTGACACACAAAACGCTGAGTAAAAGCGAGATTTTGGGTTTAAAGGCCCAGACTGGTTACTACAAAGGAGTGCTGGCCGGAGCAGAAATTCGGGGGGACAACCAGCAGCATAGTACACTTTGTGGGAGAACCCGACACTGAATTATTTGACCCAGACGCTACTCCTCTTGGAGGAAACTTTTTAGGAGTCACAGAAATGGAATTTTGATTTGTGAGAAAGCTGCAAAGACAATGTAAGCCAGGGGCAACAGTTGTCCCTTGTGGGTCCCAGAGAATATTAGATAAAGGCACTACTAAAGGAGAGGTTTCCGGGAGTGCTGGAACTACTGGCAGCAGGGCAAGCAGGATATGACGGGTCTTGTGCCCAATGGTGGCTCAGGGAACAGCAAAATTGGTCCACTCATTGGGATTGTTCCCAGGGTCATGCTGGGCTGATAAGATGCAGGGGAAGAATACAAAACTCTGAGCTCAGTTATGGGGCCAGACATCCTGTGTTACTGGGAAAGGAGGGGTGGGTGCCAGAGTTATTGATACATGATCTCAACAGAGGACCATGCATAGGGGTTTGGAGATACCCTTACCAGCCTTCGTCAGAATTACGGTGCTGAAGGGCCGAGCTGCTGTCAAAAAGTGATGAAGAGTTGCACTGTCTGCTGGCGGGACAATGGGAGGACCCTACCATACCCAGGTCCCCCACCGCTGCCTCAGGAATGGGTACATAGTGACAGCCCTTTGAGACTGTGGGAATAGACTATACCAGGGCATCACATTGAAGAACCCAGAGACGATAGGGTACGCCCTCAGAAGGTATATGTCTGCCTATTTACTTGTGCAACTAAATCGAGCCGTACATTTGGAGTTGGCAGATGTGTCAGCAGAGACTTTCCTGAAGTTGTTCAGGAGGTTTACAGACAGATTCTTGTGCCACGATTGATTATCTCGGACAATTGTATGAACTTCAGAGTGGCCAAAAAAGTTTTCAGGAATCTTAGGGACAATGGAGAAGTACGAGAATATTGAAGAGAATAGAGTGTAAGTGGAGGTTCATAGTTCTGAGAGTGCCTTGGCAAGGGGGTTTTCTATGAACACATGGTGGGCACAGTCAAAAGGTGCATTTGGAAGGATTTGCACGGCAAAAGAGTGGAAATACTGATGAATTGAGGACAGTGTTAGCTGAGATAGAAGCAAGATCAATAACAGGCCCCCTGACCTACGTGTAAAATGGGATTGATGAGCAGGAAGCTCCCACCCCCCAAACACATGCTGTTTTGGGAAAGGGGGATTGAGCCCTTCCCTGCAATTTGAGCCAGTCTCCCAAGGAGCAGGGTTATTATGGGTCAGATGGTCCCCCCATCAATGAAGAACTACACAGAGTCACAATAGACTGGTGAACACCCAGGACAAATGGGAAACCCGGTGTGGCGCAACGATTACTTGACAGCCCTGCGAGAACATTTCTATGGGGCTGACCCCGAGGCAAACAAGATGACACGAGTGAAGGGGACCTGGTGCTAGTAGAATCCGAGGGACCCAGGGCATACTGGCCTCTAGCTTGTGGTGTCGACCCCAAAACATATAAGGCTGGGTGGTTGAGAATGGTGAAGGTAGAAAAATGGTGCCGAGACCCTAAGGCCATCAACAGGCTTTTGCCTCTCAAGGTCCACAGGTGGGACTGGGACAAGAGAAGTTAGACTAGAAGCTGACTGACCAGAGTGGCGAGATGACCCCCTCAAATGGTGCTCAAGTCTAGGGCCTGCTGGAGACAGATTTGATTTAGACTTAGCGCCTACCTTCGCGGCGGGGAAAATGTGGGAAAATTATTTGATCCTAAAGTTCCACAGGGTAGATATGTCATTTCAAAGATCCCATCAGGTCACGGATGGAACGGTTGGATTGGGGGCCCTTACACCCACCCAAAAAACACACACACACCTGGGTTGGCGAAGGTGGTTGGAAGGTACATCCTAATTGATAGATTTATTCTTTAAGGAAGAAGTAGGTAGTTTATACTGTTAGTACACTAATATTAGGATTATTGAGGTAACTAGATAATAATAATGTAGACCTAAGACCTTAACATAGGTAGTAATAGGCCGATAATGTAGGCAAACACTGGGTTATGTTAGCCAGGGAGAACTGGCAGCCCAAGTTTGAATACTGGGGCACGGGGTCTTGAGATCGCAGTGCCTCCTTCTAAGACCAGGCGCCAACCGAGTAACAAGTGCCATAAACATCAGGGTGGCGCCCCACATGTCTACACATACTAGGCCCTGAGAAAATTTGTTGGAGGTACTTCGACATACCATAGATGACCTCCTCCGTCAGGCCCATACAGTTTCTGGGGGGAAATTGTGAGTGAGTTGAGCTGTGGGCCTTTGTGCAGACGGGTAGCTCATGACCGGTATGTACCGGCATCTCTTTGTCAGCCTTAGAAGCTAGTGTCACTCTCTGCATAGTTATTCAAGGGGATACTCACCCCCTTGGAAACAGGAATTTCTGAGGTGCGGGAAGGTCACTAATATCGACTGAATATTGCAGGAATTAACGCTCCTGGTTACATGTGGTTCTGAGGGGAAGTCCAGAGGGGCTAATTAAGGAGGTTGAAGACCGGGATATATTCTCCAACACCAAGTAAGTTAACCCTTTATTTGTGCATGCAGGTGAGATTTTCTTGCAACATCAGTCATTTATGGAAATCTGTCCTATAAGCCACTTGTGAGGCTGAGGTTCCAACCTCAGAGCTTGCTAGGGTAAGCAACTCACATGAAGGCAGTCCAGACAAATTTTCACAAACACTGCAGAAGGCCTACTGGCCCATGCAAGGCAGGTCCTTATCAAAACCACCTCTCCCCAAAGCTACCCAAGAATTTACTCCCATAAACCCCAAAGGCACCAATCAAAACCCAGCCCCTCCCACTCATGTCTTTGGTCTGAAAAATGGCAGGGATGAACTTCAATGTGGATAAGTGTAAGGTACTTGCCCTTGGTAATGAAAATAACCCTCGAAGCTATAATCTAGGTGAAGTAGAGCTTGATCATACTGAATGTGAAAAAGACTTGGGGAGTCATGGTAACAGAAATACTAAAGCCAAGACAGCAGTGCCTTAGTGTGCGCAACAAGGCCAACAGATTACTTGGATTTATCCAAGAAGTATAAGTAACGAAGTCCAAAAGCACTTTTCAGCTCTATTCATCACTAGTGATGCCTCATTAGATTATGCTGCTCAGTTTTGGGCCCCTTACTACAGGATGGATATAGACTCATTTTGAGAACATACAGAAAGAATGACTAAAATGATTTTACTGTGTAAGGGAAACCCTTCCATATGAAGATGGACTTAAAGCCTTAAATCTCCACTCTCTGGAGAGGCGTAGGATGAGGGGAGATATCATTGAAGTTGTAATAAAGTTGGTAAATTACCGACAATATGTAAAGTAAAAGGACACAAGTGCAACTAATGTGACATTTATTTTTGGCAACGTTTTGCTCTCCAGGAGCTTTATCAAGCCATTACAAACAGTACATGGACCAGAGGGTATATAAAGGCTCAGAGTGAGGTGCAATACTATGAGGTACCATTTCAATGTTCACTAGTGGTAGTATAGAAGTAGTATATGACAAAAGTAGTACAATATGGTAGAGCAATTAATTCGTACATGAGTAAAAGGATAAAAAGCTATTACTTTGGTAACATAAAAAGGATGGCAAATAAGACTGGAAAGAGGGAGCTTGTTTCAGTGTTACACTGTAATGGCTTTTTGTATTTAAAAAGGAGAGCTAGTATGGCAGGGTTTACTGTTTTCAGGGGGGATTTTGCTAAGTCTTCGGAGGAAAGGAACTTAAAAATTTTTTTGAAGGATGGGGGGGGCGAGAATTTTTCCTTGGGAAAAGGTATTTTATTGGAACATCTAATTTAAAGCCTATTTTGAGGTGGGGGCAACGATTTGGGAAGGGTAAGGAACCCCTTTTAAGGGGTAAGGGTCCAAAAAAATTAAAAAGGGGGGGCAAAGTTATTGGCCCGGGGGAGGAGGGGTTTTTTACAAAACAATTTTTTCTTTCCCCAAAATACAAGGTTTTTTAAAACCCCCAAAATCCCCATGGCAAAATAACGAGCCTTTTCCCACTTTTTTGGGTTTTGGGGGGGGTCGGGAAAAATGGGGGATGAAATTTTTAAATGGGAAAAGGGGTGGGGGTTTTGGGGGGGAAAGGGAATCCCTGGTATAACCATGAGTTAGGGTTTTAGATTGAAAATTGGGGGGTTTTGGAAAAACCCCGGGGACTAAAAACAAGACAAAAATGGTTTAGGGGGGAAAAACGAAACGAGGGTTTTTTAAAGAGTTAGGAGGGTCAAAATATTTATTAAAAAATAGTCCTCTGGGGAATATGGGGAAGTTTTGGCTTTCTAGGAGGAAATAGATTTTTTTCCATTAAGACTGGGAAAAAAAAAGTACTGGTAGAATTCACAAGGGTTTTTTAAAGCCTTAAATTATTCGGAGGGGGGTGGGGGGAGTATTCAAATTTAAATTTGAAAAAAAGGTATTAAAGTTGAAGTAAAAACCCAAGTTGTTTTTTTGAAATTTTGGGGGGGCAAAAATTTTTTTAGGTTTTACCCCCCCCCAAATTTTAATGGGACCAGGGGGGTATATGAAAAAGGGGCCAAAAGGGAGTAAGTGAATTTCTAGGGGGGACAAATTTTAAAATTTTTGGTTTTTAAGGGGGTTTTTAGATATGCAAAAGTATTCAATTTTTTTTTAAAAGCATTTTGTACAAAAAATAAAAAAAGGGGGTTAAAAGCTTACTTAGTTTAAAAAATAAATTGAAAATTTAAAACAAAAAAGGGGCCAGCGTTTCATGTAAATTGAATGGGTTGTGTGGGGAAAAACCAGAAAACATGTTTTGCAGGTTACGGGGGTTTTAGAGAATTTCCTGTTACGGGGAGGTAACGGAGTTTTTTTAATTTTTCGAAAAAAACTTTAAAAAATTTTTTCCCCCTTAAAGGTGGGAAAAATTGTCCCGGGGAATTGGGCTAAAATACAAATGGGCAAAAAAGGGATTTAGGGGATAAAAGGGGGGGTCTTTGAACGATTTGATAAGAACATTAAAAAGGGGAAAAAAACGGGGGGGGGGGGGGGGGGTTTTTTTTTGCGGGGTTTAAAAACAACCAAAATTTTTTCCCGGCCCAAAAAAAAAGTCAAGAAAAATGGGTTTAAAAATTTTTGGGCATTTACTGCGGGGTTTAAAATTTGTCTGTTTTTAAATTTTTTTTTTGGTTTTTTAAAGGAGCCTTTTTCGGAAAAAATTTTAAAAGTTCGGGAAAGGTTTTGAAAAATACTTTTGAAATGGTTGGGCGTGAAATAAGCTAAGGGGGCCTCTTTTTTCGGGGTTCTAAAAAGAAAATGAATTGTAAATTTTTAATTTTTTTAATTTTTCCCCAAAAACGGGCGGTCTGTTTGGAAAAGAGGGATGTTTTTTTTTTGGGGGCCCCCTTAGAAAACCCCCCTTTGGCCCTAATTTTGGGGAAATTTAGATCAATTATGTGGTTTGGAAACCTTGAAACTTGGGGTTTGATTTGAATGAGGATTTCCAAAGAGGGCCGGCTTGACTTTTATTAACTTCTTCAGTTTTTTTGGGGCTTTGCCCTGAATTTTAAATTTTTTTTTTAATTTTTGAAGTTATAGAGCCGCCCAAAAGACGTGAAGGAAAGTTAAGAGTAGGGTTGGGGGGGAAGGGGTTCGGGATCTATGGCCCCCCGGGAAAAAGGGGGCCAAAAGGGGAAATGAGGGGGCCCCCAAAAAATTTCCCGGGGTAGTTTGGGCCCTTGTTTTTTTTAAAAAAAACTTGAAAAATTACAGTATATGACAAATTCCCGGGAAGGAAGAAATATAAAAGATTAAAGAGAGGGAACTTGGAAAAAAAACTTTTTATTTTTTGGTCAAAAAACCATTTAATTTTTAAAAAAATAATTTAAGCTTTCCCAAAACCCTTTTATAATTTTAAAAAATTAAATTCCATACAATTTGGGAAAAACGGGGGGGTTTTTAAAAGCACACCTTAAAAAAAACGCATCCCTAGGTACGAAAATGGGCTATACTTTTTTATAAAAAAATTTTAAAAAAACAAATAACTACTACTTTTACTATTAAAACCCCCCCCCAAACCAAAACCCCAAACAAAACAAAACAAAAACTTCATTTACAAAATTTAATACTTAAAAAAACTTTTTTTTAAAAAAGAAAGTTAAACTCCATTTAAATTCTTTTTTAACTGGGGGGCCTTTTTCCCTTTTTTGTAAATGGTATTTTTTAAAAAGGCTTGAAAATTCTAAGGGGAAAACCCCATTGGGAAATTTTAAAAGTTTTTTTAGGGACTGGGTATTTTTTAAAAAGGGTATTTGATGAGGGCTTTTCCCAGGGGTTATTATAGGATTTTGGGTTTTTCAAAAGGTTAAAAACAAAAATAGGGGGTTTTTTAGTTTGAAAATTTTTTTTTAGATTAAAAGGGGGAAAAAGTTTTTTTAGGGGGTTTTAAAAGGGATGTATTGGGAACGGGCCTCCAGGGGGTTTTTTTTAGCTAGGTTTTTTGTTTTTTTACGAGGCCCTGGAACAAAAATATTTAAGGGAGTTGGGAAGGGGCTTTGGTTTGATTTGGTTTTTGGGACGGGGGGGGTACCCCCGGGTTTGTTTGGTAGAGCTTTTTTTAAAAAAAACTTGTTAACAGGGAAATAAGGCCTCCCCCGGGGGGTGTTCTCCAAAAACCTTAAAAATGTTCCTTTAATTTATTTTTGTCCAACCTTTTTGTTAAAAGAATGGGAACCACTCAGCCTTTTAATTGCCTACCAAGATTTTTCAAAATTTTCCCTCTCTAACTACAAAAACTCATACAAATCACATACCCACCCCTTTCCCACTATATATTAACTTTATCCCCACCCCAACCCCCCTAAATGTTTCACCTCACTTTTAGCCTTTTTTTGGGGCTGGAAGGCTTGAAAAAAAAGGGCCCCGGAGGGAAAAATTTTAAAAAATTCACTTTGGAATTTTCCCTTTTACCAAAGGGTTAAAATTTTTGGGGGCATTTGTGGAGTTTTAAAAAAATTCACCGGAAATTTTAAAATGGTTTTTTTAAAGGGCGGTTTTAGGTAAGACGTTTTCAACAGAGTTTAAAATTTTAAAAACGTTTTCCCAGTGGGGTTGGGGCGGGGCCCGGGAAAGTTTAAAAAGGAATCAAAAAACTTTTGAGGTGTTTTGGGTCTTTTACATTTTTTAAAGGGGTTTTAAAAGGTGGGGCCAGGGGGCCCCCCCCATTCTAGGCTTTTTTTTTTCCAAATTTTTTTTTTTTTAAACAATAAAAAAAAGAATGGAAGGATGGAAGGCCACTTATATAAGGGGTTTTTTAAAGTTTAACCAAAAGTTCAAGAAATAAAACCCCCATCCAAAGACCCCCTTTAAAACCACCCCCCTTCCCATATAATTTTGTCAAAAAATTTTTAAGTTTTTCCAAACCATCTCAATTTTTTTAAACATAAAAGGGGGCCTCAGAAGGCCCGCCACCTTCAACCATAAGGGGTTTTTTTAAATTTTAATTACCCAAAGGGGGGTCCTTCAAGTTTCTTTTTTTCCCTTTCCCCTTTTTTTCCCCAGAAAACCACTGTGAAGGCCAAAGGTTTCAAATAAAGATATACTGTGATTATGGCTTAAAAAACCCTTTGGAATTTTTATAATTTTTAATTTTTTAAAATTTTTTTGTCCCCGGGGCCCAAGGGGGGGGGGTCCGCCACCCCCTTGCCACCTTTTACAAAGTGAAACCGGTTTGGGGGCCCCCAAACTTGAGCCACCTCTTCCAATGTTTTTGGGGGCTTTTGGGCC